TTGTAATCTTCTGGTTCTTATCACAAACTTATCTATGGTTGTTTCTGGATGATGGAGGTTTTTTTTTTTCTTTTTGCTACAGTTGATATACTGTGGCTATGTGACATACATGATGTGACTGAAACACTATCATTGGCAGATAACTCTGAAAATATAGAAGATGATGGTGATCTTGAAGGTAGATAGTCTTCAGAATCCTGTATGTTGAGGATGGATTCTCCTAAACAAAATAAGTCTATGCATTTATTTAATTATTATTACCATACTGCTCGTTTAGTATTACTCATTACATTCACTGACACTCAGTACTACTTTAAAGGTGAAATTGTAAAAGGAAGATCTGCCTATTTCAGCTATTTATTTTTTATCACAGCTGCATCTAAAATGATAGTACCATAGAGTAACAACTATATATTTTGCTCAAACATGAGAATTCAAGAATAGTCCAGAATGAAGACTGGCAGTCCTTAAGAAAGAATATGAAATAAAAAAGTTTACCAATCTGAAGATCCTGCATATTCAGACATGTTCCATTCATCATCTTCAACGTAGCTTCCTCCTGAGAAGGAACACTTCTCATGATGTTGTTTCATTGGGGCAACGAGGTCTTGCATTTCTTTGTTGCACTGTTTGCATTTTGCACGCATGCCTCTCTTACCCATAGGTAGAGGAACTTCATTAAAATATTCCCAAACTGGGTCTCTTTACGGCCTGTTGCCGTTATAGGTTTTCCCTTCTAGTGAGAGAATGGTATGGTAGATCTCAAATCAATGAAGGCTACACTCAGAAAGACCTCAAGACTCCTGGAATATGCTGCTCAAACAGTTTCACTTTTGTTTCTACTGCCTGTCCCTCCCGTCTCACATTTATCTCCAGACTTCTTCTCCTTGTCCAGATCTATTCCACCCCCAACAATCTCCTATTCGTTGAACTTTTCAAAACTTTGCACTTTTAGAGAGAGGTAAGGGATTGACTCTGTGTACACAAATTTGCAGAGGGACAATAGCATTGAGGTCTGTTATTTCTCTATATATTTATTTATTTATTTATTTATTTAAAAACATTTTTGCTGTTAACAAGCATGTTATCTCTGGAGACACAAATCCACAGTTTGAGAACTGCAAAATTAAGCATCTCTGATGGTATCTTTTAGACCAGAGGTGGGCCTGCTCCTGGCCTGGGAGGCTCGCCCTCAACCCCTCCCCTGCTGTTCACCCTCCCCTGCAGCCTCAGCTCGCTCGCTCCGCTCCCTGCGCAATGCTCTGGGTGGTGTGGCTGTGAGCTCCTGGGGCAGCACAGCTGCACAGCCCGGCCTGACCCGGTGCTCTGTGCTGCGTGGTGGTGGCGGCGTGGTCCGGCTCCAGCTGGGCGGTGCGGCTGTAGCGCCACTAGCCATCGGTGCTCCAGGCAGCACGGTAAGGGGGCACGGAGCAGGGGGGGTTGGATAGACGGCAGGGGAGTTCGGGGTGGTGGTCAGGGTGGGGGTGTGGATGGGGTCGGGGCAGTTGGGGGAGGTCAGGTGGTTGAATGGGGGCAGGGGTCCCGGGAGGGGCAATCAGGAAGGAGGGGGGGGTTGGATGGGGCGGGGGGGGCAGTCAGGAAGGAGGGGTTGGGTGGGGCGGCAGGGGGCAGTCAGGGGCAAGGGTTCCGGGGGGGGCAGTCAGGAATGAGAGGAGGGTTTGGATGGGCCGGCAGGGGTCCGGGGGCGGTCAGGGGACAGGGAGCGGGGGTGTGTGGATGGGGCAGGGGTCCTGTGGTGGCCGTCAGGAAACAGAGGGGGTTGGATGGGGCAGGAGTCCCGCGGGGGGTCAGATAGGAGGTGGGGGCCGGGCCACGGGCCCTCCATACAATCTACAAAACCCGATGAGGCCCTCAGGCCAAAAAGTTTGCCCATCCCTGTTCTAGACTGAGTCCCATTGGGTAGATAGAAAGATTAACCTAAATAATCTATACAGAAGCCCCTGGAACCCTATGAGATTGGGTCCCTAAAGCATGAACTATTGGAACTCTTAAACATTACATGAATATATTGTCTCATACTATAGACTTAGAATTTATAATCCTTATTCCATGATGAGATATCTTTGAGCTATAATGTATCTTAATTAAAACTATCTTTAGATAGGTTTTTTCCTCAAAAAGCATTTTATCAAAAAAATCCGATTTAAATAAAAAATCGATTTTTTTTTTTAAAAGAAGCATTGATTTTTATCCAACCTGGTCTGCATTCTCCACCTTATGTCATAGGGTGGCCCTTTGGGGCTCCCTTCTGCGTCAGACTGTGGTGCAACGAATGGGTCTGCCTCAGTTTCCCCTTCTGGAGAAACGTCACATCAGTTTTCAGAATATAAATAGCCTTTGCAGGGGTTAATTTATTACAGAAATCCTACAACTATAGTCCAAAATTCCCCAGCACAGTCCAAATTGTACTTTCAGTCTTTCAAATCCTACCAGTCCATCAACACACCAAGTACAACTCTGGTGTCTCCCACTGCGCTCAGGTTCTTTGGTATGGCTCCAGCATCTCTCACTATGCCTTGCCCTAGCCTCTCCAGCTGGGGTTCTTTTCAGCTCTCAGGCCTGTTTCCTTCCATATATGGTTCCAGCTCTTGCTGGGAGACCTCAGTGGACTCACCCCTCCCATCATTCCCCAGCCTTCATCCTCTCTGCCCCTCTGGCTTCAGTTCTTTGGCTCAGAGAGTCAGCAGGCGTCTCCCTCTGTTTCTCATAGCCTTCAGCCCTCTTTAGCCTTGGCTCTGTGGTTTAGGGGAGTTTGTAGGTGATCCTCTGACTGCCTTCTGCTTTCACTAGCCTTATCTGGCTCCACTGCTCACTAGGGAACTCTTACTGCTTCCTCTGTCTGGGGCATTCCCTTCTTGAAGCTCTGTTCTTCTGAGTTCTTTATTCTCTGGATTCTGAACTCCGTTACCTTGGCTCTGTCTCTTATTTATCACTCCCTCAGACAGCCCTGCCCTCCTCATTACACCAAAATAGATTGCACCTGGACTGGAACATGCATGCTGGGTCTGATTTCATTTAAGGGACCAGCTATCTGGTTTGAGTGGTAGTTTAAATTGAATTATAAAGTGATCATGAAGAGAACACATAGATTGGGAGAGGAGAAAAGAAACATCAGCTGTTATAGTAGAGATGGAGAGAAATTTATTAGAAGTGTGACCATTAGGATAAGTAAACAAGTCACCTACTGATCCATGTTAATTGAATCATGAAGCTAGAAAAAGATTCTGAAGTATAGTTTGCTTAGGTTTAATATAGATGTGATGAAGTGGGGATTTTTCATAATATTTTTTGACACCTATGTGTACCTCAGTTTCCCTCTTTACTTTGCATTCCTATCCTGTGGTGGGGGGCGGGGAGAAGGGTTAATTCTGCTCTGGGGCAGCACAGGAAATGAGGTATAGGTGTTGCCTTGCTCTGTGGGCAACAGTGAAGGAGTCATTTAAGGCAGTGGTTCTCAACCTTTCAAGATTTGTACCACTCTTAGGAGTCTGATTAGTCTTGCGTCCCCCCAAGTTTCACCTCACTTAAAAACTACTTGCTTACAAAATCAGACATAAAAATACAAGTGCCACAGCACACTATTAATGAAAAATTGCTTACTTTCTCATTTTTACCATATAATTATAAAATGAACTGGAATGTAAATATTGTACTTACAGTTCAGTGTATAGTATATAGAGCAGTATAAATAAGTCGTTTGGCATTTTAATTTGTGCTGACTTCGCTAGTGCTTTTTATGTAGCCTGTTGTAAAATTAGGCAAATATCTAGATGAGTTAATATACCCCCCTAGAAGACTCCTGCATACCCCCAGGGGCACACGTACCCTGGTTGAGAACCACTGATTTAAGGAATTGGCTGAGACCTGATAAAAGTAATCCTTATCAATGCAGAATCCAGAAGAGACAATGGGAAGCCCCAGTGACCAGTACATTCACAGCTACCAACAAACGACCCAGAGGTTGGAGGTTCCCTCTGCTGAGTAGAGACCCCAACTCAGGAGCAAAGAATTTGGCAGGGGGTAAAGGGCTGGCTTCTGGAAGAAACTGGCTGGTGTCACCTGGGACTAACTACTGAGTCAGAGAGAAAAAGAGTCTAAGATGGAATTCTCTACAGCAGGGGTGGCCAAATTTACTGACCCTCTGAGCAACATATGATAATCTTCAGAAGTTCAAGAGCTAGGGCACGCCTTTCGGGGCTTGGAGCTTCAGCCCTGCTCCTGCTGGAGCACCGGCAGGTGCACCCCGCAGGGCAGAACTCCCAAGACCCCGCCCTCCCCACTGTGCAGAAGCTGCTACCCCACCACCCTGCTGCAAGGCAGAGATCCTGAGTTCCCCCAAGCTCCGTGAACCGCACTTTAATAGTAAAAGAGGGCCACCCCTGCTCTACAGTTTGGCTGGTGGATGGCTCTAGCTTGTGAAGATGCACTATGTTTTTAACCTTTGTTTCTCTGTGCTAACATAAGGACTTCCAGTATTGTGTTCCAGTTGAGTAACAAAGCCTCCTCTGTTTTAAAAATGCTGTGTGGTGCCACTGTGAATACTTCCTGAGGTGCATTAGTTCTTGAAGAGTGTACAAGTCGTTAACCAGGAGTCTGTCTAAACTGGACTATCTGGGAAGAGCTCATGCTGTGAAGCAGTAGCCCCGAGGCTCAATATCGGAGGCAGTGAGGCTGCATGGCCTACCATGAAGAAAGAGTGAGATGCATCCGAAGAAGTGGGCGGTAGCCCACGAAAGCTTATGCTCAAATAAATTTGTTAGTCTCTAAGGTGCCACAAGTACTCCTGTTCTTTTTGAGATGCCTTGGGGCTCTGACACACTAACAGGGTTCCTCCAAGAGACTGTTTAAAAGCTGGGGTATAGCACAGATCCTGTGGATCTGTGACAGTAGCTAACTAGCAATATACTTGGGAATAAATTACTAAGTACTAATAAATGATATTCTTTTATTTGTCATTGAATGTTTGCTTGTATTTTTAGGTAAAATTTGGAAATACCACATTTAAGACAGATGTGTACCCCAAATCCCTCAATCCTCAGTGGAACTCAGAATGGTTTAAATTTGAGGTAAGTATTTTTATAAAATGTCATCTGTGTGGCATTTGGATATTTGATTTGGAACGTTTTAGTCAAATAATTCTGGTCTCAAAATAAAATGTGTGCGTTTGGGAGTCAAAGTATTGTAAAAATAGTTGGTAATATAGAAACCTCTCCTGCAAACACTTCTAAAGGTAGTCCTCACTTGCAGGAACTGTCCCATTGACTTCATTGAGAGTTATTGTGTAAATACAGGTTTGCAGGATTGGCTCCATGGATTTTTATCAGTTGAACCAAGCATTATGCAGTTGATACTGTAGTTCTAGAAATGGGTGAAGTTGAAATAGGAAAACAAATTGTAAGATGCTAATTAAATAGGCTTCTTTCAAGTACCCACATAGTTAATAAAAATGCAATAAACAGGAAGATTTTAATTTTAAAAATGAAAGTGAGTTTGCTTTTGATGTTAGATTTATTAACATTATAGTGAAAGAAGCAGGCAATTATCTGTCTTCTGTATTATTTCTTTATCAGGCATCACATTTTAAAAAGTTACAAAATTATAAAACATTGTAATGTTGGGGCTATAAAGCACTGTATTTTCCCTACTATTTATCACCTCAACTATCATTGTCTTCAAAAGTTGCTATGAGCACTCAGTATTTTTCAGTAGGTCTTCATCAACTAGCAGAACCATACCAGTTTATTTTAAGGTGAATACAGCAGCATCATAGTTGGCTTTTGACATTCTGCTCTGAATAAAACACTTGTGTTGCATTCTTATTATTTCAGTAATGCCAAAATAAAAAGAGAAAACATGATTACGCTTGAATGGCATAGCCAATGGTATTTAACTGTTTGAAAAATGATTACCCTGTAACATACTTACGTGTTAAGTAGTGTTGGGGAATGTCATTCGAAGATAACATGACATAAATGTCTCTGTATTGTACTTGCATATAGTGAGAGATTAGTTGGTAATGTTATAAATATTTAAGACAAATAGAAATTAGTGGGATCAAATAGTGCTTTCCCTGGTGATTGCTAAGGTGTAGTAATGTGAAGTGGAAGCATACTTTAATTCAGCTTTCACTTTTATACAGTAACTCTTCACTTAAAGTCGTCCTGGTTAATGTTGTTATGTTGCTGATCAATTAGGGAACATGCTCGTTTAAAGTTGTGCAATGCTCCCTTCTAACATCGTTTGGCAGCCGCCTGCTTTGTCTACTGCTTGCAGGAAGAGCAGCCCATTGCAGCTAGCTGGTGGGGGCTTGGAACCAGGGTGGACCAGCAGCCCCCTATCAGCTCCCCGCTCCCCTAAGTTCCCTGTGCAGCAGCTGCCCAGCAGGCTAGTAATTGTAGCTGTCCCTCCCCCCACTGCCATGTGCTGCTCCTGCCCTCTGCCTTGGAGCTGCTCCCCCAGACTCCTGCTTGCTGTGCGGAGGGGAGGGAAGGAAGAAGGGAGGCTAATGTCAGGGTGTCCCCCTCCACCCTGCTCCTGCACCCCGCTTACCCCATCGTCCATAGAGCAGGGGGGACGTGCCAGGGCTCAGGACGGAGGGAGCTTGCAGCAGCTGCGGTCTCAGCAAGCTGATCTAATTAACAAGGCAGTGTACTTAAAGGGGAAATGCGCATATCTCCCTCCATTCCTGCTGCCTTGTAGAGTGAGAGCGCTAATCCTTGAGGGCTCAGCCAGTTGCTAGTTCATCATTTAACAGTAAGGGAAATATCCCACCGTCTGACTCCTCCACCTCAACCAAGCTTCACAATCATCATCACTGTGTACCAGTATTAAATTGATGCGACTGACGAAGTGGGTATTCACCCACGAAAACTTATGCTCCAATACATTTGTTAGTCCATAAGGTGCCGCAGGACTCTTAGTCTGGATCTGTAAAAAGCAACAAACACGGCTACCCCTCTGATACTTGACAGTATTAAATTGTTTGTTTAAAACTTATGCTGTGTGTGTGTGTGTGTGTATGTATGTGTGTATATATATATATATATATATAAATATAGTCCTTTTTCTGGTGGAAAAAAACCCCTCATTTACATTAATTCTTATGGGGAAATTGGATTCGCTTAACATCTTTTCGCTTAAAGTCGCATTTTTCAGGAACATAACTACAATGTTAAGTGAGGAGTTACTGTACTTTGATTTTGGGGATTTGCTACTTTTGGGAGTGTGAGGAAGAAGAATTGTCTAAGCTTTGTGGAGTGAAAATTTATTCTGTATAACAGAAGTGTCTAAATTCTGTCTTTTTTGCATGGGAAAGTGTGTTTGGGGGAGAAATGCAAAAGAACACCATTGAAAAAATGATAGCAGAATTCCGCATTTCAAAGAGTGGAATAACAATAACTACTTTAGACATTAGTAAAGTTTTATGTCCAGCTTACTGAGTTTTTCTGTAGGATGCATAGAAAGCATTTTACTTACTTACCAACCACTAACCAGTTCAAAAACGCAAAAATGCTATGTAAAATCAGAACATCAGTACACATTTTTATCTTTATCGTGTGTAATACAGCTGTTGTAGTTGAAGGTGTGAGAGTTCTTATTTACGTTTTTGATGCTTCCTGTCAAAAATAATTTTTTGGGGTAAAGGGAGTGTGTGTTGAGACTATGAATAAAAACAATTAAACGATCGTTTTAAAAGTGTGTGTGATTCATGCCTTGCTTGCCTGTGGCTCTGATGTCCTTTAGTAATGTGGTCACTTTGGGGAGAGAAGAATCCATGAGTGTATTGTTTGTATACAAGACACAATAGTCAAAAATTTTATGTGTAAACATATTGTATATAACTACACTCTCATTTTTTTGTTTTCCTCAATTGTTTTCCTGCAAAGTTTCCTTGTATTGATTAAATACTGAAGTTTTATGTATTTCTAGGTAGATGATGAAGACCTACAAGATGAGCCCCTGCAGATCACGGTTCTTGATCATGACACCTACAGTGCTAATGACGCCATTGGCAAAGTGTACATTGATATTGATCCTTTGCTCTATAGTGAGGCAGCTACAGTTATCTCTGGATGGTTTCCAATTTATGATACCATACATGGTAAGCCTTATTGACTTTTTTAAAAAGAAAATTGTTTTAGACATAGTTTCTTTGAAAGTTGGAATATCTTCTTTTTAAGGATGTCTTCAGCAAGTTTGTAATATCCTAGCATTGCTGTCTGAAGTGCTGCTCCTTTTGACATAATTTGAAACACAACTCCTGTGTAGTCTTTACAGTCTGGTAAGTAAATATGTGATTTAAAACCAATGACAAATTACATTGTAGGATACTTTTCTTTTCTTTTTTTTTTATTGCAATAACAATTATACAGTACAGTTGAGATGTCTCAAATTATGTCACAGGAATTTATTATTGGAAGATAGCATCTGGCAGAATGTCCTTCATGAAATTTCAGAAAAGTGAAAAAATTGACAGAAAATGATTTAAATGGTCACCACTAAGGTAGTTAATGCTTAGAAAACAAAACAAAAACAACAACAAAAAAACTTTGCAATTACCAGGCTGTTGCTGAAAATGTGTATTTTTAAGAAGGCTATCTGTTGCGTGTTCCTTCTGGTATGTTTGGACAAGCTTTATTTGGGATGAAGGGAGAGGAAGTGACAAATTTTCAACAGGAAGCATAGGATGAAATTCCCCTTTCCCTACAAAAAGTATCTTTCTAGTCCTACATGCATCTGTTCAAAATATTTTAGAATTGGGGTGAAATGGAATTTAATAGGAATTTTGCCATTGATTTCAGTGGAGCCAGGATTCCACTCCAGGAACAGAATGTAAGCATAGACTGTAGAGTTTTTTGTATAGTGTCCTTTTTTTTTTTTTTTTTACTACATTAAAAAGTTTTACATGATTGTCAATTTACAGCTAATTATTGTTCTCCACCAAAAATTGGTTATTTGAAAAGAACTGGTTTTGGAGATTACTCATGTAAAAGTGATACACAGTATATCACTGACTTTACATTGGAAAATAAGCAAAAGGCTGAGTTAGATTATAACAGTGAAAATTTAATGGAGTTCAGATAGATGTCTGGATTTGTGGTCATTGTGAATATGTGAAGAAAAATATATGAAGATGCTATTGTGATGGGCGTTCTGTCTGTACCAGTGTAGACATAGTGACTTCTGAGAGAATTGGGTCAGGAGGCCCAATATCAAGAAGGTCCCATTCAGTCATTTACATCTAGTGTTTTTGTTCACTTTTTTTATACTGTGATGTCTTCAACGTGAAAAGCTATAGTGATGTGAAGTGGTATTGCACAAAATAATTTTGTTAGTCAAGAAAAAAATTAATAAGAATGAGGAACAGGTCAAGATTGTGAAGTAGGCACTGTAGGTAAGAAGAGAAAAGAAATCAAAGCTGATGATTGTTCACTGAAGAAATGTAGCTTTATTAAAAAGTTTAAATTCTGGCTTAAAAATTAATCTTTGTTTGAAAAACGAATTGCCAAAATAATACCTCTTGGTTGTGTAGTTCTTTTCACGTTCAAGTGTTGCAAAAACATTAACTAATTTTCAGTACACCATTGTGAGTAGGTATTAAAATTCTGAAATGACTACTGGGTACCTTGACTAGAATGGACTGCGGAGAGTAATTCTCTTATGGTCTTCAGACCATTTTTGAGAGGAAAATTCTAATATGGGGTTTGAAAACATTGTAACAGAAATATTTAGCTTCAAGTTCTTTGGAGAAAAAATATATTGATATTTTGATTCATTATGGAATATACCTAACTTTAAAACTAATAATTAAAATGTCAAATAAATTAAATAGTTGAGAAGATTTTATTCTTTCTATTTCTTCTTTCTGATATAAATTTCACCTTCCACCTCTTTTTTATGGACAGGTATCCGTGGGGAGATCAATGTGGTAGTGAAAGTAGACCTCTTCAATGATTTAAACCGTTTTAGGCAGTCATCCTGTGGAGTCAAGTTTTTTTGCAGTGAGTAAATAAATCAATAAATTGTTCTCTTGTGTGGCAATGTTTTGAGTTTTTTAATTTCTGAATATAAAATACTGGACAGCTGAGAAATTAAATATTCCCAAATTAAAATAAGTGTCTCTTCTAGATAATAGTATGGATTCATCATTGTTAATTGAGTCTTGTGCTCTGTTATTTGTATCTTCTTTGCGGGTAACATTTCTTGAGGAGAGGAAATGCAAAGTGCATTTTTTTTCCTTCCATCAGTCAGAAAAAAATGTTATTTTTCTTCAATAAAATGTTTATTCACAGTAGTGACACAAATCATGCTGTATTTGCAGTGAAGCTGTGAAAATATGTAGTTTTCATCATCCTCTTATCTCCATAATTGTTAAAATGTTTCTTTTCTGATAGAATGAACCACAGCACATTTTGACTAGCCAAGTACCAGGTCATTTATGTATGAACAAACTGATTTATGGCTTGATCCAAAGTCTGTTGAAATCAAGAGAGAGTGGAAAACTCATTATCTGCAATGATCTTTGGATCAGGGCCCTTATTTGGTCTATTATATAAAGCCCCAATTCAGCAAAGCTTAAGTCAATGTGAGTTAAGCACAGGCTTAAATGTTTTACTGATTTGGGGCCTAATAGTCCAGTGAAATCCCAAGACACATTTTGAGGCCCAGATAGTCCTTGGTACAAGTCTGTGGTATGCCAACACTAGTGAAAAATAGAGTTTTGAGCAGCTGCAGGTGTGTGTCATTCTTTTCAAGGCTGCTTTTCTATCCTTCTAGTTTCTGTTCCCTTTCCCCATTCCTCAACTCTCCTTCAAGGCCAAGTCCAGATCGCACTAAAGCCAGTGGCAAAACAAAAAGTCTAATTTGAATTTGGAATTGCATTACTGTTTGGTTATATAAGAACATCTGCAGCAGACCATTTCTTTTTTTAAGCAACTCCTTTAAAGTATCTCAAATTAATTTATTCATCTAACATTTTTTTCTGATTACTTAAGATGCACACATTCGCAGCAAAGCCTGTTTGTGAATATGTGCATGTAATGTTACTTTGTGTGCATATTCATAGGTGTACTATTGAAAGAGCCTTATGAATGTATATGTAGAAACAAGGGTACAACTTCAGGCAGTAATTCCAGCAGGCACCAGTAAGATTCTTAGTAAAACTCTTCAGGTATGCCCTAAAATCTGTTGTGAAGAGAATCACTCAGATGGCTATCTAGGCGTATTTTTTTTAAAATTCCTATTTAAATACTTCACTTCTAGACTTGTATATTACATATTTATATATCTTTTCAACAGCCACATCTATTCCAAAGTGTTATAGAGCTGTAGTAATTCATGGATTTGTGGAAGAGCTGGTTGTTAATGAAGACCCCGAATACCAATGGATAGACCGAATCCGTACTCCAAGGGCATCAAATGAGGCTAGACAGAGACTTATTTCACTGATGTCAGGTATTAATAAATAAATTCAACCTGTAATATTGATTTGCTGCTATTTTTTAAAGTCTATAGTTATTTATTAATTATTAAGGGAGAGGATGTGTATATTTTAGTTGTAAATTATTGACCTCTATCAGGGACAGTCACTGATGGCCATGCACACTGTTGGTTCTGCCTTGGTGAAAGCCATGTGCCAGACTGTTGCTCAGTTTGTTGGTCATTCTCCGTGAGGAAAAGGAAGTCCCAGGAACACCTGTTCAAAGCTATACCTCCTTGAACAATCCATGAGGGGAACGGAAGACACCAAAGAGAGAAGATCCTATTCCTAGAAGATCTGACTCTGCTGAGTCTGTGTCAGCCTGTGCCCCATCAACTTGTACGCACCTCCCAAGGTCGTTATTGATAGAAGATCCTTGACACCATCAGACAAAGACCCAGCATCGAAGACCATCTTGGTATTGGCTACCACCGTGGCACCAAAGTCTGGTACCATCTTCTCCTGGCAAGGGGGTTTGACCATTGTGGAAAAATCATTGCTTACGATTCCTTTCTTTCCATAAGGAGAGAGCTAAACCTTTGTTCTGCATGGAACAAAGTGCTAAGCCCACTCACCAAATAGGGGAAAGTGATGCCTGCTAGTTTTCTGGTTTGGTACCGAAGAAGTATATATAGGCATATTCAACACCCATGCCTGAAAATGCCAATAACCAGCAAATGTTGGTACCAACATTGACATCGGTACTATCAATGGAATCCCTAGCAGTACCTCCTGATTCTAGGTTGGAGAAGTTAACCACATCCCTGGCACTGCTGTCAGCACCAAGGTTTCCACTCTTCGCACTGGTACATATTTCTGAGCTCAGGATTGAAGTCACCTCATAGGTTGGCACCGCCTCTCAATGATGTCTGTTCTTCATCTGGGACACACCCTTTCTCCTCCATCCAGTAAGGAGCTTTCTCCCCTCACATCACACAGGATACCTCTGCTGATCAGAGTAATTTTAAAGTTCCAGTGCATCTAACTCCAACATGGCAATAGCCTGGTCAAGCCCACCTCAACCAATTTTACCAATATACCACTTTGGCACTATTGGGAACATTGGAGACCTCCTTTTGGGAAATCCAGGAGATGGTCTCATTCCTATCATTCAAGCCCCTTTGGCATCTACTTCCAGGTTATGGATGTGAGTGACAGGCAAAGTGATGATGTCCATGGTGGTTGAAAAAGAAGGTGGGGGAGGAGGGTTTGGGGCAGAAGATCAAGAGCTTTGTTTCAGTTACGTTGAGCTTGAGCTGCTGACTAGACATCCATGAGGAGATATCAGAGAGACCAACTGAGATTTTTAGTTTGGATAGAAAACAAGAAAAATAGAGATTTTAGACTTTATAGGGGCTGTAATTGCTGCCAAATCATGGAAGGCATATTTTCCCAAGGATAGATTTCTCTCTTCTTAGATGATGATCACCATAATCAAATCAAATCCAACTACAGTAAGAAACTGCCTCAAACTTCTAGGCCACACATCAACTTGCTTGTACACAATCCCACTTGTCAGACTTAACCGACATTCCTTACAAGGCTGGCTGAAGTCAGTATCTTACCCTTCAAGACATCAAATGAGGATGCGAGTTGTGGTCCTAGCTCTCATCATATCAGCACTGAACAAGTGGGTAGACCCTAAGAATGTCCTTCCTCACCTCGCTCCTACAAAAAAAGTGATCATAGATGGATCAGATGCCAGTTGGGGCACCTGTTGAAGACCTAACCACCAAAAATCTTTGATTATATTCTGCATTTAATAAACTCTGGACTCTCATTCAGTATCACCAAAGTCCACCTTGCAAAAGTCTTGGCATACCACCCTCTCATACAGTCATGCTCAGCTTTTTTCCCCAACACCATGGTTCTGAACTTCTAACTGGGTTTCTGCACACCTTCCCACCAGTGAGAGAGAGCCTTCTCCAACCTGGGATATCACAGACAACAACATCTCTAAGAACCACAGTTATTATTAGGTAAATAACTGTTTTAAATTACTGTCACCCTTGTCTTTCCTCACCCTTTCCACCTCATTTTTCTGTTTGCCACTTATTGTGTCATGTTAAATTTAGATTGCACTCTCTTCAGGACAGGGGTAATGTCTTCACTTGTTTTGTGAGGGGTACAGCACATTTTGAGATACCAGAAAAATAATATTGTGATAAGACTAATACATGTCTTCACAGTGTTTTTTGTAGATGTGATTGATACATATAAAGAGGCAGTGTGTGCAGCATTAGAATAGAAAAGGCACTTAGTGTGGATCTAGTCAGTGTTGGTCAAATTGTAATTGTGTCCTGTTTGCTTTTTTAAAATTTAAACTATGTTGTGGGTGAATATATGAATAAATCAGTCTTTTACCTGTTAGGATATGGCTCATGTCCAGTTTCTGAATAGAGCTGGTTTGATGATTTCAATTCATTTCCTCTGGGATGACCATTTACAGCATAAAACAACCATGTATCATTTGGCACTGTTGGAATTTCAAAGGTCATTTTGGATTGCCCAGCCAAGTGAAAGTCCTTCTCAAAACGTCAAATGTAGCTAATGAGGTGTGAAAGCATAGGACTAAACTGTTTGCTTACTGGTGGTCTTTGGCATGGCTGTGGTGTAAAACAGCCCATAATAGTAGCATTCTTTATTGAATAATGTTTCATAGTGCCATCAACAAGGTACATGCTTTATAGTTAATAACATCTGATACAGGATGTTATTAACTGTATAGCATGTAGCTTGTTGATTTATAAAAGGGACACTTTTTGTACATTTTATGAAGCATGAAATGTGTGATGAATGTAAAATTTGATGTAATTTCAAATTTAATAGACTTTTATTGTACTCTTAATCATATGAGAGAGAAATTTAAATAAAACGATGATATACTAACCACTACATACTAATACCTAGATTACAGTTTTCCTTTAAAAAATTTTTATTTGGCAGATAGCCTTGGAGATTGAAGTACTCGATATATCCACAGAACAACTACAGCATAGAAATTGCCTTCTTCATGTTGCCCTTACCTTATGACTTAACCCTGACCTTGTGGGACAAATCACTTTAGAAGATTCTCTCTCCATTCCCATTTGATCCTGGCATCTCTGCTATGGTTAACAAGAGTAGCAATTGTAGTAGTGTGTTTTGTGAGGCTGATTCCTGCTTATGAAGAACTGGATTGAGACTATTAATAAATATGTAAATTACCTTAGGGATGCAATTTTATTTATGTAAAAAGTCAATTGATAAATGTTCTCGTGAACTGCATTTTTTTCATAATGGTAAATGCACTTACCTACAAATTTGATCAGATGCCATATATGCAGTAGTAGAAATTAGAACATGTGCATCTACAGTTATAGAGAAAAGTGAAGTCAAAATATTGACACTGCATAATTCAGTTTATTTACAACCTTTGTGAAGGAAGCAAAAAAGTGCAATTTTGTTCCATTGTTCTATACTATTTGCTAATTATGTCAATTTTCAGCATAGTGTAGTCAATTGAAAAACACTGTTGTAATGCAGTCTTGCAAAAGGGCCAAATTCAGGTTCCTACAGCAAACTCAGCTGCATTTCTTGACTTGTGTACAGTAAAGATTTTTCATTTAATACCGAAGGAACAGTAGAAAAATAGTCAGAATATGTTTTGCATGATGTGGTATCTATGTATATGGTATAAATACATTAAGGTAGGAATTGAAAAGGAATAAAAACCATGACATTAGGTTGATCTATGCTTTTATATGTTTTGGAAGTTGGCAAAAGAAAAAAGGAGATTAAGGATGTCTATCCATCCATTTATTTGTCTGAATTTCAAGGAAGTTTGAGGCCTCAATGCATTTCATAGTGATACCTGGATTATTTGCTGTATTACAGAGCAGCTAGAAACTTCAGTGTACTCCAGGACACCCAACTGTTGTGATGTCTTGCTCATATCCCTTCCCACAAAAGAGAAATGAAGGACCTAATGAACACTTAAAACAAACAAACAAACAAACAAACATAACCCTCTTCAGACCTTTTCTTTTTTTGTAGTAGTAGTGCACTAGATCTGGCTGGGGGGAAAAAAAGAGAAATGTCAAAGAATTTTACAGTCTTTTTTTCAATTCCTACTCTTGGCCATTTTCTAGAAAGCTCTACATGTAAGTGGTTCAGATGTACTACTAATAAGATCACAGAAATAAGAGCCTTCAATTTGCAGGAGAAGTTTGTGGCCATGTTTATGGTATAATCATGTGGTATGTTATCTATCAGCCAGTTTTCCTACCCTGAAATTATTACAAATATGAAGAGGGTCAGATCCACAGAAGAGAATAAGAAACATCCTCTTTAACATGTTTGCCCTATATCTAAGTGAGATGTCAGTTAACTTGTATTTATTTTTTGTAGGTGAACTTCAAAGGAAGATTGGCTTGAAGGTACTTGAAATGAGAGGGAATGCAGTTGTTGGTTACTTGCAGTGTTTTGATTTGGAGGGAGAATCTGGACTAGTAGTACGAGCCATAGGAACAGTCTGTACCTTGGATAAAATAAGTAACACAGCATTCTTACCTGCATGTAATTCCCCATCTAAAGAAATGAAGGAGTAAGTATGAGTTAGTAGATTGTAATGGAGTGAATTTCATTTCTTTTCATATTCATTCAGTTTTACATATCCAGTGTGTTTTCCCAGCGTTTATTTCTCCTTTACTGTTTTTTCTTGTCTGTAACTTGGTTATGTTCTGCAATTTTGAGAAGATGGACATTAGATGTTGCAGCAGTAAATCTTGGCGAGAAAGATGTTTTTCTATTAATTCCATAACTCTTGCATTTGCAGTCATAGCATTGCACATTCCCGTGTTGTGATCCGCCAACCTCTAGCTGGTAAATAGTTTGCACATGCAAATAACATATTTTTTGTTCATGGGGATCTTTCACAATACTATGCATTTCTTAAGGGATTTGTATTTTTAGCACTTTGTTTGAGTGTCTTTGCTGTGTATTCATGAAAGAAAAGATAAGTATATTTGAGTTCAGATAGTTGAGTGGCTCAGGAGATTCAAGGACATCCTTGAAGTCTTTTAATCATTTTAGTCATTGGTTTTTCTTTGTAATCAAAACAAATTAGGCTATATTGTACACTGACTGAAAAAGGTTTCATGATGAGGAGTGTGGCCTAATTCCAGTTGTTCACTTTGGCTAAGTCAACACAACACAACACAGATTTTTAACAGGAACAAATCAAATAAAATTAGGAAAATTCCGGTGTCATATTATTCTGAGGGCGGAAACATTTACAGTTCTCAGTTGCCACTGTGAATACATCAATTTATTTGTTATGGCATCTTGTGTATATTTTACACAATTACTAGATGAAAAGTAGAGTACAAAAAAGTATACTTATGTGTAACATGTCCAGATATATAGTGTTTGAATTAGGTCATTTTATTTTAATGATAAATAACTAAGATTATTGTAGTCTTGTAATTATTATAATGCAATCAGAGCACTTTGTATGAGGCAGCAACAATACCACTGTAGAACTTCCCCAGCAGTGGAGTCCGGTTATTGGTCTTATTTAGAATTATTAATTTAATTTGTATTGACTTGTGAAACACAACCATCATCACAGAGCTTCTGGGCATATTAACAACATTAAAAACACAATTAAAAACTACACACTGGCTGCAGTAGCTAGCAATTTAAACATCACCCATAAATCGGTAGCATTCAATCTTGAACAGCCGACAAAAAACATTATCTTAACCCATGTATGTGCAAGGTTGTTTAGCAACTTGCGTGCTGGATTTTGATAATGTTGTTTTAACCAATCTGTATGGTCCTGCCCAGAAGTGTGAGTGGGTTTCAAGACCAGCAGGTTCTACTCACGTCTTGTTATTATCTTTATTAACCTTAGCCTTTAATGCCAAAGATTCAATAATATGTTAACAAGTTAATACTTAGCTGTTCCCCTGCTCCTTTTGATTTCGTCTTGACTCTTGCATGCTAGGAATTATAACTCTTAGAGTCTGCTTAAAGAATAAGAGATCTCCGCTAACTAGCACTCCCTGAAATCATTTTTAACATAACTTTGCAATCTGTTGTATGTATTGTTTTCTTTTCTTCCACCTTGGCTGCAAATTCTCTCAGGTCTCCGCTGGTTCATCTGCCAAGCCATGGATGCCGCTCGACTCACAACAGCCCAATTCACACTGCTTCTGGCTCACGACTTACCCAGAACTTCTCTCTGTCTGTTCCCACTCTCATCTACACTGGTACGAGACTACTCAGACTCAAGAGCTGGGGAGAGGCAGGCCACAGGCACAGTGGTCGCAAAGTGCAGGCAGGCAGGCAGTGTAGGCAGGTACCACCCATCTTTTCTCCCTCTTTTTCTCACTGGGAGTCCTTCTGCTGTCAGTGGAGAACTACTGCTATATTCAGCTGCTGAAACAAACTCAATAGTTACTTGGAAGAGTGTGTGTTTCCTCAAAGTCTCTTCCACAGAGCTATACTTTTCATTTCCTTTAACTACTTGAGATTACCTTTGAAAAAAACAACCCCCCAAAAATCATACATCTGAGTTTAGTAACATCCATCAGGTACAGTTTACAAGTCTTTCTTACTAGTCATAATAGGAAACCATGATTGGGCTTCAGATTGCTTTCAAGTGTAATCCAAATATTACCTGAATTTTTAAAGCGTTAGGAAGGGTTTGTGTCGCTTTGTGGAAAAGACAGTACTGGAGAACAGGTAAGGAAATCTGCACATAACTGACATGTTTGTCAATACAGTTGTATTCCTTAAGGTTTTTCTCTTTGCTTTGTTTTTAGCTGTGGGCACACTGCTGATGCTATAGGATAAGGAAACATTTTTTTCTTAAAATGTGTGTGTATACATAAATATACGTGTGTGTGTGTGTGTGTGTATATATATATATATATATATATAAACACAAATATAGTTTGAGATCATTTTTTCTTTAATAATCTAACTCAACAAGCATTGTGTAGTTTTTTTTTTAAAGCCATGTATTTTTTTAAAGCCCTGTATTTTGAGTTTTGTTTCCTTTTGCATATATACGTTTCCCCCCCCCCCTTGGTCTGACATTTCATGTCTTTTATTTGGCTTAACTGTTTCAGTGCAGATAATCAGCATCTATCTGTAGAATGCTGAGTGGGTAAACATCATTTCTTTGCCTTTGGCCTCATCCCCAGCAACACACTTAAGGAATAACTGCTGGCCCTACCCCGACCCCATCCTGGTGTTCGGATCATGCTGCTGTCAGCCAGGTCCTTTGGCACAGGATTACTGAATATGTTTCCACCTTCTTCTGGCAGGATTCCTTTCAATGAAGATCCCAATCCCAATACTCATTCATCAGGACCCTCCACCCCTCTGAAAAACCAAACCTATTCCTTTTCACCTTCCAAGTCCTACAGTCGACAGTCCTCTTCTTCTGACACAGATTTGAGTTTGACACCCAAAACTGGTAAGGCGCTTCCACCCACTCTTATTTTTTTTGTTAATTTGTATTTCTGTTTTATCTTTTCATTCAAACCCTTTTTCCTTTTTGGCATGTAAGTTATCAAAATGATGTGGAAATTGGATATTTCAAATAGCGCAATTAAAGCATGAAAGCATTTGCGTAGTGCACTGATTTACTGTACTTTGTTTTCCAAAGCTTATAACCATACCATATAGGCAATTTAAGAGTAGCATTTATAATATAACCATTTAGAAGCATCTCAAAATGTTATAAAGAGGGTCCTAAGGAATTGTCTTTTTCTTTTAATTTCCTCCGCTTCAGATTATAAATTATGGGGGTACATTTTCACCATAACATGATGCGGAAATGGGTGATCAATTCTTACTAGTATATGTGATTTTTCTAAGACTAATCTTCTCTGCTGAAAATGCATCCATATTTTTGTGTAGATTCTACTTGCCTGTTTGCAAATTGATTCTAGAAATGCAATTGCTAGTGTCTACTGAACTTCTTCAGGGTTATGGAAGTGGCTGTGGTAAATGAAGTATACACTGTTGTATAATTTTTTAAAATTAGTTTTAAAGGTTATTAAAGAACACCTTTTTTAAAAGCTTAAAAATATTTTTCTCAACTGGCTTTTCACAAGTTAATTGAGTGCTGATTCCTCCCTCCACCCCCTTATTTTCTTATGAAGCCCAACAAACGTGGCTCTGCTACAACAGAACAAAAATACTGTAGGCCCATGTATAAAAGTGTGGCTGCTGTTTTAAACGTTGTTTCTAAATATGATGTTTAAAAATAGTATTTGAATCTGAGAACGTTCCCATCTCTCTAATCATGACAGTTTTAAGGTATTTACATTTTTTGACTCAGTTATTGTACTTGACGGGTGTCTCAGGAATACTTCATATTCAAGATTTACACATGGAAATAGGTTAATTTTTCAAACTTAATCCAAAAGCTTAAAAAGAAGAAGCTATCAAATTGCAACTCTCCCTCTTCATTTTTTTTTTTTTACCTTTTTGGTCTCTTTCTTTCTTTCTTTCTTTCTTTCTTTCTTTCTTATCTTTTGTGTAAATAGTGATTATGTCTTGTGGACAACCTAGGGTGACCATTTATGTTCTAAAGAAACTGAGAGCAAGTGTATTTTAAAAACACACAGGCCAATATTTATTTTTAAGAGACACCACCCCACAAATTCATACATTTTGTATTATTAAATTCCTGATGATTGTTTGAAAACATACATGTTATCTGATTAAGTTCCAGGATAGGTGGCCATCTTAGTAGACATCCCAAAGGCACAGGAGAGTGATAGTAGTCTGCAGTGAAATTGAGACATTTCTGCAGTAGCTACATTAGATTCTGATCCTGCAACATGATCTGGATGGATGGACTGTTTGCACCTACACTGAGCCCCACTGAAAACAATGGACTCTGTGTGGACACAAGTGCATCTGTGTAGATCAGATTGCAAGATAGGGGCCTTTGTGGTGAGGAATTTTCTAGTATGTCGAGGAAGCTGGGCCATCTTCATCAGCTTCAGTTTTTTGTTTTCAAATTTAAGCTAATAGCAGTCATAAGAACAGCCATACTGGGTCAGACCAAATGTCCATCTAGCCCAGTATCCTGTCTTCCAACAGTGGCCAATACCAGGGAATGAACAGAACAGGTAATCATCAAGTGATGCATCCCGTGTCACCCATTCTCAGCTTTGGCAAACAGAGGCTAGAGACACCATCCCTGCCCATCCTGGCTAATAGCCATTGATGGACCTATCCTCCATGAACCTATCTAGTTCTTTTTTGAACCCTGTTGGCCTTCACAACATCCTCTGGCAAAGAGTTCCACAGACTGACTGTGCGTTGTGTGAAAAAGTACTTCCTTTTGTTTGTTTTAAACCTGGTGCCTATTAATTTCATTTGGTGACCCCAGTCACTCTTTTATTTGCTAGGGCAGTATCATGTAGCTGCTATCTTTTGGCAACATGTTCAGCTTTCTGTTGCCAAAATATGTCCCAATCAGAAGGCTTGCTTGTTATGTCTAAAAATTATACATACACACTGAATTTTGAAAAAATAATCACTTAACAACATAATATATAATATGTTTGAGTCATGTTTCACCTTGACTTTTGTGACTCTTCAACTATAGTTGTTCTGGGAGGAAAGAATAATAATCACTTTATAGTTAGAATTAATTCAGGGATATAACTATAAAATATCTTTAATTTTGATAAGAATTAGTTATCAACAGAAGGAGAGGGAATACTATTGAATGATATAAATTGTGTTAAATATTTTCTTCGTGCAGGTGGCAGTTCTAAACAGACTTTACCAAACATGTTTGTGGTGTTTTAAAATAAAAAAGATAGCACTGTTTTCAAGGATGGCACTAGCATTTTCTCAAGGTTCTATAATCTAAATTAATAACTCAATACAACCCATAGTTAGGACACAAACTGTTACAGGATTCTTGGCTCATCAACCCTGATTAAAGCTTTGTCCCTATAAAGGATACTATTTTTTTTTTTTTTTTAAAACAAATTGAGACTTAGACTAACTTGGTTTAGTTTTTCTTTTACTGCTTTATAAAATAAGTTTGATCACTCTTTACTGAAGTAAGTGTAGTATGGCTGAGATGATGTGGCTGTAGTTTTACTTAATGAAACCTGTTCTTACAGATTATCTTAGTAAAGTTATGTTTGGCCTTGTCTCTCAACTTTTTGGGGAGTTTTGCTTAGAGGGTGTCTTAGTGTCAAAGCTCTTTATTCTAGTGCATGACGATGATCTGATTAATGGTTTGGCACATATAAAAAGATCTGAAATTCTGAAGAAGGGAAAATTGGGATTTGTTTTTTAAGCTGTCTGAGCAAGGAAGAGGAATAGAGTATGACTGAGGAAGCAATGTCAATATCTTGACTTCAAATTGAGACTTTGTTTAACTTTCATAAGAAGCACATATACCACAACATTTAGGTATTTATACCATGATATAAAGAGAGAGAAACTTGGATTTGCTTATTAGTCTTCTGGGTTGGAACTGTTGGAAGAAAGATTATTACCATTTCTTTTATAAAGTAGAATGTGATGATACAGTGTAGAATGGGCTGTGTCAAATTCTCTGTAGTAAAAGGTGAGAGGAGGACTTTCAAAATGCACTGAGACAGTTAATTCTGGTTTGGAATTGGAGACTTCCTGCTGTGAGTAGTGCTACTTTTCATGTAATTTTAAACTAACAGAAGTACCTGACTGACAAAAGTAGTTACATATTACATATGTAACATATAGTATATATTTTAATAAGTTTGGGTTAGGAGAGAGAGAAGAATTAATATACACGTGGAGGAAATTGAGAAGATGGGCACTCCTTTTTTTATGTGGGATATAAGTAAATATGTATATACACACACACACACACACACCATTATAAGATTTAAGACTTTAAAAATTAAATTTTAAGGTTTCTGGATAATGGTCAACTTAAATTCATAGAACTTTTGGAGAAGAGAACCTGTTACTATATCAGTTTTCCTTAGGCATGTTAGAAGGGCTGTTTTGAATAGATTTTATTTAGAAGTATTCACTTTAAATTTTTGTGTAAAATTTAATTGAAATATGAAATAAATATTCAATTACTTTGGCTCTTTAATAAAACTAAATACATTTTAAAAGAAAGTTAACAAGTTCATACTCAGATTTTTGATAACGTGCTTCTAATCCACACTGTGGTGCTAAGTTGTCATTTCATTTCTTTGTTTGCTGGTAATAGCTTTTTCATATGCTAGCAGTATATATCTGTTCATTTGAAAAAAAAGTCTGTTTTGTTTTTGCTTCATTTTGCTTTCCTCCTCCTATTTCTTTAGTCATCTTGTGAATCTACATCTTTTCTCTCTACTACTTTCCTCCACAGCACCTTCCCCACAGGGGCCTAGGATTTTCCTGTTTCCTAGCTCCCCTACTCTATCTTGTGGTTCCCCACAGCTTAACAAGTCCTGTCTCCTCCTCCCGGGGTCTAGCCTTAACCCTCTTCACTCTAGCCATGTCAGCCCATTTGTTCTGAGGAAAAGTGTCTCTTTCACTGAAGAGCTGCTTCTGGCTGCTTCTGGTAGGATCAATCTATAATCACCTTTTTAAAAATGCCTTTTAAGAAATAAATGGAATGTTGTTGTTAGTCAGTTAGGGGGCATTTAATACCTAGCCTTCTATACCTTTTAGTTAAAATAGCCTCTGAAAACTGCTGGCTACATGACTATTACAGGATAATTTTTTTCCACCTGGAGGCTTGCAATAATTTCTAGAGCCTCTTCCTTAAATTGATCAATATTTGAAACAAATAACCTACCTTATATTGCAGAACTTTTTCCTTTTCCAAAAACGTCTCCACTAAATATTGGTAATTGGACTTACTACCATTAGACAACTACTGAATACTGATATTCTTTTCATTCTCTTCATTATAATAATGTTCCTGTATTTTAGATGGAACAAGCACTCCATCTTCCTTACCAACTCATTCATATTCTTCTGTTGAAATCTGACCATCATGTGGCTAGCAACCATATTTATTGTACCGTTTAAATTGGTTTGTTTCATTCTGACTGTATACAATCTTTGTATTTGTACTTCCTCCTTTTTACGTTTCATTGACAGAGATCACTAGATTGTCCTGTTAAATTAAATACTAGAAATCACTGCTTCTTTTCTACAGATAGTGCTTTGATTATTTTGTGTTTTTTTTTTTTTTTTTGAATTTTTTTTTTTTTTTTAACTATTGTTTTTTTTTTTTTTTTTTTTTTTTTTTTTTTTTAAGAATGTGTTTCATCTCAACAAATATTCTTCATTTCATGTCAGTCTGTTTTTAGTATTGTATAGTCCCTTGCAAATGCTATTTGGGTCTAATGCAAAATAACATAAAATAACTTAATTTTATTAATGGGACTATACAGATGCTAATCTTTGTTTCCTTATCCAAGAACAGCTAAAAATATTTCATTTCCTATATATAAATAACATTTTAGACATGATAGCATTTGTCAGTTTTGAAATGAGTGAATAAATGAAGTGCCAACAACAACAGTCCTTAAGTTTGTTTAAAACAAAAAGTCTTCACACATTTACATGGAAAAATATCTTTCCTTCTTTATTGTTACTGGATTTTTTAGCAGAAGAAAGGGGACAGGGAAAGTAGCAATGTATTGTCTGTTTTAAAATAGCAGTTAAGATAACTTTAAAAATATTCCCTTCAATCATAACTTCATTCACCTTGTTCCTGATGCTTTTTTTTAGTTTTGTTCTTCATTTTTATTAGTGTTTTCATTGATATCTCTGAGAGTATTGAAAGGTATAATTGCTGATACACTGAAACCAAATAAGTATCAATTTAGTTCTGAGGCAGGTAAGCAGATCTGACTATAAGAAATATCAGTGAAATATGTTCTTAGGTATGAAATGCCACCAAAGTGAATCTGATTCACCAAAATTATGATTATTGTAGGAAAAACACAGCCTTGGTATATGTTTTCTTCCTGGATTTAGTAACTGTGAAGCAACAAATGTCTTTTAGCAAGCAAATCACAGATACATTTGGCAGTTTAGAATGCTCAACAGTAGTCCATGGCTGACCTGAATGATTCAGATGAGTGAATGTACTCTACATAAATGTTAAATTAGACTGTCCTTCAATTCTAAGTTACAGTATCTTTTTCAGAGTTAAAATTTAAATTAAAAGATAAACATTTGTTTTATGCTTGCCCTTACAGTTTTCTCTTTGGGCCAAATCTTATAGTGACTTCAGTAGGAGTTGTGTACATGTGGAAACTGAAGGTTTGAGCCCCAACTCATGAGGAAAAATGATTGAGCTACTCTGAAACTGTATGAACCTCACGACATGGAATCTTTTTTTAACTGCTACTGTAAATAATTCTTGGACACAGGTCCATAGTTGGCTTTATAGCAGAAATCTTGGCCAATTGCACTTGTAGGATTACTTCTAGTTTAGCACTTTTGAATTAGGACTGATCCTGCAGTACTCACTGATGTGAATTGAAACTTAGACTGTAATTGCTTGTGAAAATAAGGATTACGGAGCTGATCCTGTGCCTATTGAAATTGATAGCAAAAACACTCTTGCATCCATGGGAGAAAGATCAAGCCATACTGTAGAACTAAGAGCTGCAAGTTCAAGCCCCTAGGCCCTTATTCTTATTTACACTAAGGTCCTGTACACCACTCTGACACTATAAAGGGACTTAAAGTGCAATTTATGTTCACCCTAATGCCCCTTTACATTTGCACTAAAGGGAAATATAGTATAAATGTGAATAAGATCCTTAGTCTTTAGTGTGCCTGATTGGTAAAAATAAGCTTTCAGAAGTTTCTAGCTATAATTTGTATCATAGGTTTTAAAAAAAATCAGAGACTAATAAATACAGTCTGTAACTTGTTTCTCTGGATGTTATTTATGTGCTGATATTCTTTAGGAATGGGCAGTGGAAGTGCTGGAAAAGAAGGGGGACCATTTAAAGCTCTATTAAGACAACAGACACAGACAGCTCTGGAGCAAAGGGTAAGGAATACATGATGATCATATTTTATACTTATATTTCTAATATAATCCTAGTAGAGATTTAACTTTTAATAAAGGTAAATATTTCCTTTTGACAGAATTATTTTGTAAATATTTGTTTTATTTTGCAACCGCCAAACTTAATAAACCTCTGTTAAACACATTGTTTACTAGCCCTTTTTTATAGACAAATTATACTGATTGTAATATTAAATATATTACTGAAACAACATGAAAAAACTGAAACAAATAATTCTAATCTGCCTAATAATGAAATGCTGTAGTTATTGTTATAAGACACAGTGATAACAAAGGAGAATTGAGTGTTTGTTTAAATGCATAGATTATCGATGCAGCTGTCATTTTATTGCTGTATTATATGAATGGGTTTTATTTTTTAGTTATCTTTTATAATAAATCCCAAACTATAAAGCATTGCCATTAAAATCACTATTAAGGGATATTGGATTAAAAATAACCTTCTGCAGTGTTTGGCAACACTGTACATTCAATTAAATTTATGTTTCTTCTTTGAGTGCTTGCTCATGTCCATGCCAATGTAGGTATGTGGTTGCCCTGAGCACCGCCGCCGGAAAGCTTTTCCCCCCAGTGGTATCCATTGGGTCGGCTCTGGTGCCCCCTGGAGTCATATGCTCATAGCGTTATAAAGGGTCCTGCCGACCTGCAGTCCCCTCATTTCCTTCTTACCACCCGTGATGGTTGCTGGAATTGCCTCGTCCTTGCACTCTGGAAGTACTCCCTCAGTGGACTTTCTAACCTCATTGTATATTGTTATCTTTATTCTTAATAGTTAATTTTCAGATTTTAGATAAATAATTAGGTTACTGGAACCCCACTCAGTGGGGTTAATCCCTTCCCGGCACCAGGGTATGTCTCGGTCTCTGAGGTTTAAGCCTTGTGCTTCTTGCCACAAGCCTATGCCTGTGAATGACCCCCATTCCAGCTGCCTTAAATGCCTGGGGGAAGCTCATGTACGGGAGTGCTGTAAGATCTGCAAAGACTTCAGGCCCCACACCAAAAAAGATAGAGACACTAGGCTCAGATTTATCCTCATGGAGGCAGCACTACGACCTCCCTTGGAGCCGGGTCACGAGTCGGCACCGAGTACTTCAGCCTCAGTAAGGAGAATCCCCCGCTACTCTGTAGGAGACTCAGCACCATTCCTCATCACCGGCACCGAGGAAAGACACTCCTGCTTCTTGAGAGACTTGACACAGTCCACCATCCCCAGTGCTGAAGAAAAGTACTCCGGCGAGGGAACCTCGGCACCACTCTTCATCATCGGTGCTGGGAAAGAAGCAGAAAAAGACTGATAGATGTCGTTCCCCAACCCTGAGGTTGGTGGGGCGGAGACATCCCAATACAGTGTGACCCACGTCAGGCCACTCTGTGGTTCCAACAACCCTTGCGGCGCCATTGACTCAGGCCCTGGAATGGGTACCGTTGAGTTTGGTATTGATCGACTCTCCACCGCAAGAGAACCACCAGAGTTCCACTGCCCTGGCGGTACTGTCAACGCCAGAGGCATTTGCAGCAGCGAGAGATTTACTCTCTCTACTGGTACTGCCATCCCCAGCCATACGGGAACTGTCAGTGGCGGCACCTGCGGGAAGGACCTCCACAGAACTGAGGTCTCAGATGCCTTCAAAAGGGAATCTGGCCATGATTGCCCACCCCCAGTCACCTTCCTCCCGGCACTGGTCGGCACTGTTCCAGCTTGGTCTCTGGGAAGGGAATCTTCAGAGACAGACTTGGAGGCGGAGTCATATGTTTCTCTCAGGAGCTGGCTGTCACTACAGCTGGCACTGTCCGGCCATAGACCTGAGTCAAGGCATCCCACCCGCGGCTTGGCCACAGGGACAGTGGCAGATGCCAGGACAGTGTCTTTTCTGGAAACCCTCGGCTTTCTCTCTGATGCAAGGGTCACATTCCAGAAGGTCATATGCCGTGGCGTCAGAGTCCAGAGCGCCTCCAGTGCTCCACTTTGAGCAAAATCCAGGCTCTGGTACAGAGACTGGTGCTGAATATCAAGACCCAGCACCGCGAGACACATTTTGTGCCGAGGGCGAAGAACAGTGTCCTCTACATGTACAGGCATCCTCCTCCTTTCCAAATGAGGCTGTCTTGGGAGCAGACATAGTGCCTTCCCAGGTCGACTACAAGACTCATCAGGAGCTCCTCAAAATAGTGACTCAAAACCTGAGGATCCAGGTAGAGGAGATCAGGGAGTCCTTCCATGCCCTGGTAGACATTCTAGCAGCAACAGGCCCTTCAAGAGTGGCATTGCCCCTGAACAATGCTATTAAGGACCCATCAAGGCATTGTGGCGGACCACAGCATCCCTTCAGCTGACGGCAAAAAAAACTGAAAAGAAATACTGTGTCCTGGCTAATGGGTATGAATTCTTTTATACACACCCACCACTGGGCTCTTTGGTTGTATCAGCAGCCAATGAGCGGAAACGACAGTCAGCAGGGGTCAACCCCCAAGGCCAAGGACACCAAAAAAATTAGACCTCTTCAGCAAAAAGGTCTATTCAACAGGTGGCCTCCAGCTCAGGATCACAAATCAGCAAGCGCTCCTGAGCAGGTATGATTTTAACTCCTGGGACTCATGCTGAAATTTAAGGAGTACTGTCACAGGAGTCCAGGCGAGAATTTGCAGGCAAATCTATGGCAAAGGTGTCCCTGCAGGAAGCTGTAGATGCAGCGGACTCTGCAGCCTGATCCATGGCCTCAGCGGTGGCAATGCGTCGAAGCTCTTGGCTTCAATCCTTGGGCCTACTTATGAGGTTCAACAGACATTGCAGGACCGTCCTTTTGAGGGTTTATCACTTTTCTGAGCAGACAGACTCCAAGCTGCATAGCTTAAGGACTCGAGGGCCACCCTGAAGTCCCTAAGGCTTTATACACTGGCACCCTCAAGGAAACATTATAAGCCTCAGCTGGCCAGTCGATTCTTCACGCTACCTGCCTGGCAAGACCACAATAGGAGGAAGAGCAGGGGCTTTAGGAGAAGACCTCCGCTGCAATCCTCTTCCGCGCCTGCCCCCTGCAAACACTCTGGCGTCTAAGCAGACCTTTTGATGGGATGCGCGGGGAAGACATATCGGGACAGAACTTGGATCCAACTTCCCCAGTTTTTGTGGACTGTTTATCTCATTTTTGTCGGGCATGGGCTGTATTGCCTCAGATTGCTGGGTGCTACGCATGATAGCACTGGAATATACTCTTCAGTTCAGTTGTGTGCCCCTACCCCCCGTCCCTCTTCAGGGAGCCATCTCACAAGGAACTTCTAGCCCAAGAGGTGCAGTCGCTCGTAAGGGTGGGAGCCTGGAATTAACGGAAATAGAGTCCCCGGCCCCTTATTTCCTAATGTCAAAAGTCAGTGGCAGTCTCAGACCAATTCTGGACCTGTGAAAACTCAACTTATTCAGGAAGAAACTAAAGTTTCACGTGGTCTCTTTGGCTTGCATCATCCCCTCCCTGGATCCTGGGGACTGGTACACTGTCCTCGATTTGAAGGACACCTACTTCCATATCTCAGTCTCTTTCAGGGACACAGAAGATTGAATCTCGTGCACTACCAGTAGCGGTGCTCCCATTCGGCCTGTCAGGGGCACCTTGGGTGTTCACAAAGTGCATGGCAGTTGTTTCAGCTTTCCTGAGGAGACAGGGTGTCCAGGTCTACCCTTTCCACGACGACTGGCTGGTCACAGGTTCATACCAAGATCCAAGTGGAGCCCAATGTAAAGTTAATACAGTCAACAATCCAGGACTTAGGTCTGCTAATAAATGTGCAGAAGTTTACTCTCTCCCCATTTCAAAGCATAGAGTTTATCGGGACGATCCTCAAGTCGGTCCAAGACAGAGCCTTCTTCCCAGAAGCACGATTCCAAGCAATAGGGATGCTTATAGAGAGCCTTAGAAATCGCCCCATCACCACAGCCAGAAACTGCTTGAAGCTCCTGGGCCACATGGCATCATGCACCTAAGTGATGCAGCATGCGAGACTTCGGCTCAGGTCTCTCCAGGCGTGGCTTGCATCTGTATACTCACGGAGCTGACACCATTTAGATGCAGTCATCGCAGTTCCTTCATCTGTGATTGCTTCCCTCCATTGATGGCTAGACCCTCTGGCAGTGTGTGCAGAAGTCCCATTTTCAAGACCCCAACCATCAGTGTTTCTTGTCACAGATAGCTCAGCATCCGGCTGGGTTACTCACTTGGGGTCCCTCAGAACTCCGGGCCTCTGGTCTCCAGAAGAGCTCTTGCTACATATCAACGTCAGGTAGCTCAGGGCAGTTTGCCTGGCCTGCCAGGCGTTCCAGCCCCATGTGGCGGGCAAGTGTGTGTCAGTTCTCAAAGACAACACAACGGCGATGTTTTATATCAACAGGCAGAGAGGAGCACACTCCTTTCACCTGTGCCAGGAAGCACTTCTGCATAGCCCACTCAATCCACCTTGGGGCCTCCGATCTGCGAGAATCACAGAATGAGCTAGCAGATCACTTTAGTAGCTACTTCTCCAACCACCACGAGTGGTCCATTCGTCCAGACGTTGTGAAAGTCACTTTCCAGAAGTGGGGAGCTCCCCAGATCTTTTTGTGATGAAACACAACAGGAAATGTCTCCAATTCTACTCCTTTCTGGGTCACAGCTCCAGGTCTCTCGCAGACGCTTCGTCCTCCCTTGGACGGGTCATCTCTTTTACACATTTCCTCCCATTCCTCCACAAGGCCTTGATGAGGATCAGAAGGGACAAAGCGGGAGTCATCCTGATAGCCCCTGCCTGGCCTCGCCAGCACTGGTTTACCATGCTCCTAGACCTCTCGGTGGAAACACCAATTTGTCTACCTCTGTTTCCAGACCTAATCTTCCAGGACCACGGCTGCCTGTGTCACCCAAATCTCAAGTCCCTCGTCTCTTGGCCTGGAAGCTCCATGGCTGAACCCCTCAGAGCTAGCATGCTCGGGCCGG